AATTCTTCGGCGCTCCGCCTTCTTTATGGTCCAGCTCTCACAACCATACATTACTACTGGAAAAACCATAGCTTATTCCTTTCCTTTAGCTTTAATACTCATCACTTTCTCTGAAAATGCAACAAAAAATCTCTTCCCATATCTTTTATCTATAAACAAATCTTTAAAGCCTGGTCATTCAGTCCTAGTAAAAAAAAAATCCATTAAGAGCTACCAGACACAACAACATGAGGATCTAACCTAACCTGTTCTTTCAGGTCTCCCAACGGTACACTCATCGCCACTACAAAACTGAGTCCCCCCCCCCAAAAAAATCTATTACTTTAATCTTTTAATCTAGGGCTACTACATCTGAGCTGCTAAAATCCAGACGACCGCTAAACGGAAACAGAATTACAAAAAACTCTACATTTGGCAGCCCAGATCTGGTAGTCCTGCACATTAAAACGAAAAGCGATAATATAAAATAATCGCAATGATAGCAAACTACCGCCACCGCGAACCAATTCGCAAATACAGATTATGCTCTTTCCCCGGTGTTTGGCCCCCTCTGGTGCTGCCCGCTGTATTTCTCCTCCGCGAGGGCCCCTGAGACGCCGGAATCCGGCTGCGGGCCGGCGGAGAAAGCTGCGCAGAGCGCGGCAACGGGCTCCGAGGCGTTTGTTGCGCTCATCTAGGCGGGTCAGCGGAGGGAAGCCGGGCTAAAGCAGGCCGAGCTTGGCGGGACGTAGAGGTAGCCCCGGCGATTGGCTGCAGTGGGTCACGGAGCAGAGCGTGGCTTGATTGGCTGGGTCGGGTCATGTGGTGTGGAAGCCGATGGTGGCGGTGGGAGACAGATAAACATGGAGGCCATCTTTCACGAGAGGGTGAGTGAGTCTTTTGCCTTCGCCTAAAGAAGGAGGGATGTGAGGTTAAAAAGAGGGCGAAGCGAGAGGCTGACCCTATGAAGAAAGGCGGCTCGCGTGGAGCTTGCCCGCGTTTGAAACTTTGCTGTTTCGGTTCCTCGGGTAGTTCAGAGGCGATGGTGTGATGTTTACAAAAATCTCTTAGGCTTTTATATTTCATATTTAAGCTGCAGAAGGGGAAAATAAGAAAAAATAAAGCCAATGTCTTGTAATTCAGAGGTACTTAAAAGGCAAAGGAGGTAAGGGGCGAAGGTTTCTAATAGGTAGTAGGGGAGGCCGGTCCGCAGAAGCTTGTTACGATAAAGGTACTGTATGAGCTTCGAAAGACCTTTCGATCGCCAGTCTCGTGAGGAAAAGCGTTCACGTTTGTTTAAAACGGGTGGTTACTCTTAAGGTGATGCTTTTTAAAAGTACATTCCTGAATTGGGTGGTACAAGGAGGCGTTTTCTCTCCCATGCTTTTTAGTGAATCTTTTCGGAGTATCGGGGCCCCTAACCATGCTGGCAGGATCATTGAGCCGAAAACAAGAAAGTGGGAGCTTAACATGGAGGACAGGAACGTATGAATTAGTGTTACCAAATACTTAACTTGTTTGAGAGGTGCTGCTCCAATGAGAAGTGGTTCCATTTCATTGGAATGTATATACTCCGTATTTCACTTCAATTATTCATGTTTATACATGCAGCACAAGACAGTACTTGTTTTTTTTTCCTGCCTTACTGATTGAATTGGTCGGTTGTTTTGAAACTGTATGCCCCATGCATCTCTATAATTAAAATGACCCCTTTTTCTTTGACATCAACATTATGTATAACCTGAATAAACTGCTGCTGGGGGAAGATAATGGTTTGGTTTTTTATCTTTGTTTTGTGTGGTATGACATCTCTAGATATAAATTGTTTTAAAGATTAAATGTTACATTTCAGATTGATTCTGAAGGCAATGATATATTTTGGCCATTTCCTATCAAATAGCTTCTCCCCAAGGTTTTGGAAAAAGGGCATGGATTTAATAGCCTTATTAAGTGATTGTATCCAACCAACCTACTCTATTAGGGGACAACAGTTTTATATATAACACACATTTGCTGAGTGCTTCCTCCTCCCCAGAGCTGCGTGTCCCTATACAACATCCCAGAAGGTTGGATTTCTCTGACGTGAAACAAAAAAGAATCACTAGAAATGCTTTTGTACAGGCATGTTTGGGCCAGAGAGTGTAGGAAGAGTTGTACTATATCCTATTTCCTCAATGGGGTACCAAATGCTTTCATGCAGGATGTGAGTATAGTACCACCTTGCCATCTGTGTTGTTTAGCAACTGATACTGAAAGGTATTTAATGCTGGAGCAGTTTGGTCTAAGTCAAATTGATTTAAATCAGTAGTCAGGAAGACTAATAATTGAAATCATAGCCAATAAGATTCTGTTGTTGATGATAATTTCTACTAAAAGTCTTCTGCTTTGTTATAACCTTAATGCATATTCCTCAGTCCTCAGGGATAGAGGCAACTTTTATGTTTATATGTGTTATATATTATAAAAATATTTTTCTTCTGGTTTTCTTCTGATTAAATTTTATTTAAAAAACAAATAATTTGTTATTTGGTACCAAAACAGATATATACTGTCACAATTCTTAAGAAATGAACTAGCAACAGTTCAGTTAAACATGGATATATAGAGAATCATTTTGTTGTAATGTGCTAAACAACCATAATATTATACATACCATGTAAATTCATAATTTAAAAAGCAAATGATTTTTTTAAAAAACCAACCCTCTTCTGGAGGTACAGAGTAGCAATCATAACTAGTAGCCATTGATAATTTTATCCAAAAATTGACAACATGGCACTTGCGGCATCTTATTACCCAGGACACCTCCACTAATTTGTTTGGTCATTTGTATGCAGTTCTTCATTGCATGTGATAGCTCTCCCTAATCCAATATCTTCCAGGTGGTTTAAACTATTCTTATAGTTTAATTCTAGTCATACTGTTTGTGAATTATATTAGTGTTTAAGTCTGCCTATTACTTGTATATAATGCTGAATGATGTGCATATTTTCTCTTGGTAATAAGTAATAAGAATAAGTTATCATCAGTATTATGTATGACTTAATTTGCTAGGAACAGTAGAAAAGCTGTGTTGGAAAACTAAAGATGTGATTTGGGAGACTTAAATGATAAAGATTATGAATGTCTTTCTGCTATTGTATGTAGAAGTAGTTGGACTTGTTTGGGTACATACGTATATAAATATGCATAGATAAGTACATATGCACGCACGTGCATAAATTTCAGCAATGAATACTTCATTGGAAACAATGAGCTTTGTTTAAAATACATTGTCATATACAGAGTACTCATTTAATAGTTCAAATTGATATAAAATACATTAAAATATAGTGCAGATATGTTAAAAACACAGTAATAAAAATCCTTAAAGAAATCGTGAAGGAGGCTATTGCAGTACATCTGTTTTACCATCACTGGCAAAGCACAGACGCATGGTAACTTAAAACTTGATATGGTTTTAAATAGCATTTGAACAATAAAATGAATTATGAAAAGGCCATATAATAGTTACTGCATTTTTTTCTTTTTTCAATTTTTCATAATTTAGCAAGAAGGTTCTCTGTGTGCCCAACACTGTTTGAATAACTTACTGCAAGGAGAATATTTCAGTCCTGTAGAACTCTCTTCTATTGCACAGCAGTTAGATGAAGAAGAGAGAATAAGAATGGCAGAGGGAGGAGTTTCGAGTGAAGAATATAGAACATTTTTACAGGTAACAGTTCTTCATACGGATTTACATTTATCTGCCAGTTTGTGTTCTGCATATTTTCTGACTAGAAAAGCTTATATTGAAGCTGAATTTCAGAATGATAAAACGTAAAATTATCTGTTATCCTTCCTAGCATAGCATCCTCCAGATATGTTGGGATTACAGTCAGATTCTCAGTGAAGCTTCTGTTTAACATCTCAAAACATGAATAATTTTTTTTTTTTTTAGAAACTGGAGAACTTCAGGTACAGAGTTTCTTTTGTCCTAAGCTGCTTTTAAATTGGGGTCCACAAATGAGTATACAAACAGCAAAATGAGGAAGGCTACTGTAGTAACCATTAGGGTCTCAAATTTACCTGGTGGTGTCTATCTGCATAGTTTATCTGCTCTTTCTTGCTGACATAACCTGTAAATCCCAGGATGTCATAATACTTGTTCCAGCTATCTTAATTTGTCTGTTATAATCCATCCTGGTCTCATACCTTCAAAATGGTTTATTAAAAGTATTTTTAGACTGGTAAAGTTTAAGATTTATTAATTATGATTAATTGAATTTATTCTCTACTTCTGATTTCCCAGAAGCTTCTATAGCACATAGATTAATCTTCTCTCCTCTCCTTTGCATTTGCTGAACAGCAGCCTTCAGGAAACATGGATGATAGTGGTTTCTTCTCAATTCAAGTAAGCAGTCCCCATTTACTTTTTTGAAAACATTAAAATAGAACATTTGAAAATTCTTACTGAAATATACCCTGGGCTCCTATTTTAGAGCTGTTTAGGAGGCAGCTGTGTTCAATGGATAAATTTCTTAAAGTGAATGTTTGCCTCCCAAAATGTACAAGGAGCAAATCCATGGTTACAAAGAGTCCTTTGTATTTCAAAGCTACACTGTGGTTGCAATTCTGTAGATAGCTTCAATGCTTACATCCCACTGATTTTCAATGGAATTTTAGCATTCTAATAATTTATAGAATTTTTCTACATAAGTTAGGATGGGGCTGATTTCCAAAGTGGCAAAATGCTAATGCAATAAATTATTTGGGGTTTTTCCTGCCTTCGTTAAGCTGTCCTTTGGGGATTTAAGAAAATTTGCATTAAGTTGTTTCCTGGGTAAACATATGAGCTTATTTATTTGTAATCAGGTAATTAATAGAAATCTTCCTTTGTATGGTACACCAAGGATAGTGGAAGTGCACTTTTTATGTATATGTGTAAAGTATTTGTACTTTCCAAATTAATCATTAAAAAGTGGAAGAGATCTGCATACATGAACATGCCAGTGTAATTAATCTATTTATCTTCTCCTTATAGCAAGCTGTTTTTGGATGGATTGTTGTATGTAGTAAATAACTAGGCTAAGTAAATATTGAGTAAACTAGGACCAAAGTCTTCAGATCCATGTAAGTTAGTATATATGCCCTGCAGAGTACAGTAGTTTGTAAGTATCAAAATAAGCTTGTTGCTATATGCAAAGCTGCCTATATTTGTATCAGTCTGAAATCACTGAAGCTGGCAGACTTACATGCAACTTACCATTCTACTTATCTATAGATTGCTTTGCTTTTCTCCTACCTCTTCTACGGAATGTGGACTGAGGTGAATTTCTCTCTTTAATTTTCTAGCAGTTAGCAAACAAGTTTTATATTAATAATGTATTTCAAACAAGAAATTTAAGGACAAATTTATTACTTTGTCCCAAAATATGCAGGATGTAAATAAGCAGTTTTTGGTAGAACTCAGTGATGTCCAGAAATACACCTCTCATGCAAATAGATTCTCACTTACTGAACATTTAATTATTTTTAGTGGCATTTTAGGGTGGTTGTTAACATCTTGTGCTTTAAAAAATAGTTTAAATGTCTTTTGTAATATAAAGTAAAACTTAAGTTTACCAGATCACATTACAGCAGGCTCATTCACGAAGAACCAGATTTCTGCAGTGATTTACAACATTTGCATCTATGTAATTTGTGTAGTGATATAAATCATATAATTACACAAATGACACATATCGATGTAATTATGTATTATGTGTTTAACAGACATCCATGAATTAGGAAACTTCCTCCCCACAATTAGTCAGTTTAAATGGGATTTCACTGTATAAAGAATTATACCAGTAGGTTTTAAATATCTTGCCAGCTACACATATAGACATTCAGAATAAAATCGATGCTTCAACAGTAAATTGTTTGTATATAGCTGCGATAATAACAACTCAGGTATATATGTGATTTTTTTAAAAAAGAAAGTTAAGTTGTGTATTTGTTATTCATCCTTAAATGTGTTTTATATGTGGTCTGCTGAATGTAGATTCATGAAGGTTAGCTTCTTAATTATCTTAGCCCAATGATTTTCTTGTAATGAAATTTGATTTTTTTCCCCACTCCCAGTTTTGTGAAAACAGGATGGATCCAGATTTAGTCAGACTAAACCTATTAAAATCAGTGTGACTGTAGTCCTGACTACTGGAGTTCCATTGATTTAAGTGGTCTGTTCTGAGTATGACTATATCTAAATTCAGTTAAATATATTTGTCTTTATAGTTCTAAAATGGTTGCATTGCTTAAATTTTATAAGTGACTGGTTTATCTCATGAAAAGTGCTGTTTTTTGACAGGTTATAAGCAATGCCTTGAAAGTTTGGGGTTTAGAACTAATCCTCTTCAACAGCCCAGAGTATCAGAGGCTCGGGATCGATCCTATGTAAGATTTTCTCTTTTAGCTCCCTAATTCCATTGAAAAAATATTAACAGTAATGCAAGAAAAAAATCCCTATCCTTTCCTTCAGAATTTCTTTTGAAAATTATTATTTCAAGTTCTGGTTTTATCCACTCCGCATTTTCTTTTTCATATTATTGAGGCCTTACATATCCATTGTCCTCTGAGCCTTCATGACAACTCAGCATCTGTGGCATTATGGAATGCTGACTTTGAATGATATGTGGCATCATATCTGCTTAATGACCTCAGTGTGTGTCTGTATTTATCAAGCATATATAGCAATAAATATATTTCGAAAACAGTGTTGTTACAATATTCTGAACTATCAGTGTAGTTGAAAAGATCACATAATCTGAATCATAGCTTCACTTACTACAGTGTTTTTAAATACAAAAATGGTAACACTGATTAATACTTCTGTGCTCAAATATTTAATTCTGTGAATACTTTGTGATTTACTTTCAGAAATGAAAGATCTTTTATTTGTAACTATAAAGAACACTGGTTTACGGTTCGAAAATTAGGGAAACAGGTAAAATTTCTTTATTTTCCTTGTTTAAAATTGATGTCAAGCTTGCCATTGGAATCAGCTATAAATTCAGTCAATTTAGTGCAAGTCTAGTGGCAAGCACTGCATGCATGCACAGATAGATAGATAGATAGATAGATAGATAGATAGATAGATAGATAGATAGATAGATAGATAGATTTAATTCACCGTTAATTGGCAAAATGGCCTCATTTTGACATTATTCAAAAATTCAGATTTTAAGATGGGAAGGGGAACTGTTGTTTCCCAGAGCTGGTTTGTTCCTATTTCCATTCTGAAGCTG